TTTTCATCCAATTTTTGACCCCTACAAATAATTAACAACAAAATACATATGGAGGAGGGCCCCCATACACTATTCTTCTCCTCTTTGGTTTAAGAAACTCATGGAGAACTAAAATCTTTGGTGAAACTACGAAGACACTCGGTTGGAATTGATGATTTCATATCTTTTATTCATTTAATTTGATCTTTTCATTGTCAAATAATGTTAGAATTTAGATTTTCATTCTCGTGAAGTTATGTTTAAATCGATTTAATTTTACAAGATTTTTCATGGATTAATCATATTTTTTCCATTGTTTGATCAAACTATTTATTGAGTTTAAATTCCAATTATTGGTTGTTGAGATTAGTTTTAAAATTATTATATCTTTTATAGATCCAGTCATGCTTCTTCTATCGTTAAATTGAACAAGTTGTTGAATTTTAATCTCAATTTCACTTTATTGGCGGATTGATTACTGTCTTGTACTTGATGTATATGGTCGATTTTTTATCTTGTTTCAATAAGATTGTGCGAATATGTCTTAAGTCTAAATTCTAGAATTACGTTTGTAAATTAAATTGGTTTTCACGATATATCTTCCGATTAGAATGTAGGGATGAAAGCATCTAATTGTGTTATAAAAATTTGTGTTATAAAAATGAATAATTGATATGATTGATCCAATCCAATTGAGGGAATTCTGATACTTCACTGCTTCAAATTATTGATTTTAATTTCACCTTTTTGAATTTTATTACACATTTGAGAGAACAATTCAGACTTTGAAATCCTCTAAATATTCTTCCATCTCCCTGTAAATACGACACCCTAAAGCTGCACTACAAATACCGTGTTATTCTTTGGGCGTAATCAACAGTCCAGCAAAAATTCGCGCCGTTTTCCTCTTTTTGATATTCTCGAACCCTAGACCTAAAATCCTATTTTCAATGTATTTGCACATTACTCATTGAACTTTTACAATATGTCAATTCCAGTCATTTTGTTCACAGAATTATCAATTACAAATAATCTAAAACCTAACAAATATTTATTACAGCTCAAATTAGAAAATAAATGCATTTCCAAATAAATTTAACCTAAATAACAAATGAGGCTTTATCACAACCCATGGTAGAATCCAAAAAATATATGGTACATTTGGCAGATCTTATACTAATTTGGACAGTGTTGTCATTTTTATATTCCGCAAGTTTATGGATTGTCACAAGTAATATAGTGGACTAATGAATCAGGATATCATTCCTACGAGAAATAATATCTAACAATTGGTCAAATTATTCCAACTTTAATTTGATCAAAATCAAATAATAAGATTTGTAACTGGTGTCTAATTATTTTAACTAAACTAAATTAATCTAACGTACACAATTTATCGAATTTGTGTTTTAATACTAGAACTTACAATTTTACCTATGGATCCCCTTTAATTCACCAATTAAGATTCATTTACTACTGTAGTGTTCGGTCAAATTCATCTAAAATATTTAACTTACCCCACTTGCGTTCTTATTGAGTTTATTTAACTAATTCAGTTCCACATTTCTTTGTGAATCAATCTTAGTTAAATGAAATATTAGTTCTAAAAATTCATCTAATGATCACAATAATTAGTATATGTATCTCCACGTTATACTAAATTATCGAATTTTACTATGTGTCTAAATCTAAAATTCATCTCTCGATCCATAATAGATTTACAAAATCATTGAATAATTAGTCAAATAATTCAAAGCATTAAATTCATCAATAAAATCAACACATATGCAGTTAAATAACTAGAATCTTGAATAAAAGAAATAAAGGGTTACACATAGATTAAATTGTTCGCCATAACTATGAATTTAGCTACTAATAATAATGAAAGAAAGACAAAAAGTATAGACTTCATAACCAAGTTTTGAAATTTTGATCATGGAAAGAATTGGATCTTGCACCAAGAATCTTCTTCAATCTCAGAAGTTTTCAAACCATAGCTTTTGCTATTTGATTTTGGTGATTATGTATTTTTCTCTCTCAAAATGTGTGGAACTCCCCTCAAAAGTATCAACAACTTGTATTTGTACTTCTCCCACGTTTGTGTCGAATATAGGATTTTTATAAATTTCAAAACGGGTCAAAATGCACCCTAGATACATTCAAGCGGCACCTCGATGCCATGGGAGCGGTCTCAAGAACATTTCAACACTGCATCTATTTTAGTAGTTTTATCATAACCTTCTCGTCTGATATCTAATTCAAACGATCCAAATTGAGTTGTAAAGATAACTCAAAAGGCCACAATTTTATTAGAGGTAACTCTTTTCCAATTTGAACATTTATTGGGCCAAAAATTGGTTTCAATCTCCGACTGAAAATCTGGAACATCCTGTGCAGTTGAAAATTTATGTGAAAATATTTTGATCATATTTCACTTCTTATGACTTCTAATTACATCCAATTGACTCCTAACATTTTCAAATCTTCACCATGAGTTTTGGCACGACTTTTGAATATTACACTTTAGTCCCCAAACTTTGAATTTTGTCTATCTTTCACGAATTTTCACTTCTTTCTTTCAATTCCACTTCCTTTCATCAAATTTCACATAATAAACTAAATATACAATAAATTAGACTATAATTGTTCAAAAGAACTATTAAATGTCTATTTTTTTAGTCCAAATAAATGTATAAAATACACTTATTAGCCAGCTTTCTCAAAAAAACTTTTCTACTCAAATAAAGCACTTTAAAAAATTTATCCAAATATGTAACTTCTTAATTTCAAGAGTTTATTTTGACTCTTCGAATATCTTGTCAAGCAAAGAATACGAACAAAACTAGGACTAAGAATGATCTAATTTTAGTTATGAGGGTGTTGGAATTAGTATTTTAATAATGACTATAAATAGAAAAGTTGAAAGAAAAATTTAGGAAATTACCTTTTTGGTACTTCTCAAAGTCCCCATTTACTACACATTATTTAAAAATTATATTTTATTAAACTCATTTTCAATTACACACGTCCTGATAAAATAACTTTGCATTTGAACGGATAATTTTTTCTACCTTTTAAAAATAAAATCTTCAAAAAATTTATTTTTGAAAAATCTATATCAAGCTCGTCCAAAATTTATTTATATCGTACAATTTTTTCTATAATCAATTTTTTTTTTACCAAATAATTGTAGATTAAAAGTCATGTCTCAATCGGTGCATGTTGCAATAAGTCAGTCCATGGAAAAGCTAGGGACTGACGCTCAGACTGGCACATCATGTGATACAATGTACACACAGTACATTAATAATACAAACTGCAAAGCCCACTCTCATTTTAACACCTATTCGTGGTAGGAAAAAAAGTAAAAAAATGGGAAGTTTTTTAAAAATTGACTTATTTTTGGCTTACGTAAAGGGTGTTTGTTTCTGATTTTGAGAATTGATTCTCAAATCAATTTTCATTTTCAACCACACATTTTTTAATAAAATAATATTTTTCATCACATCAATAATTTTTTCTTCTTTTTCAACCACACATTTCCCATCATATCATTATTTAAAATCAATTCTTCCCCCAAAAATCCTTACCAAACAAGCTAATAAAATCATTCTCGCGGGTTTGTGTTGAGTCCCATTGTTTGGGATGATGTATTTTGTAATAATAATTTTTTTGAAGAATGTATGATTAAAATATAGAAAAAAATTTGAATTAAGATTAAAATTATTTTATACAGAGAATGTATTGTTGAAAATGAGTTTGAGAAAAAAAAAATTTAATAGGGATCAAATAGGGTGTATTTGATAGATATTATTGAGGGAAAATGTATTTTAAATAGTAATATGATGAAAAATATGTAGTTAAAAAATAAAGAAAAACTATTAATGTGATATCAAATATTATTTTATTGAACAACGTGAGTTTGAAAATGAATTTTGAAAGAATGTGTACCAAAGAGAGGCTAAACTTCATTATCGTCATTACTTCTTCTCCTCCCCCTTTCCCAATCTCCAGAGCCTCCATCACCACCTTCTTCCCCCAACCCTTCTTTTTTTCCCCACCTTCTCCCACCCAATAGTCGCCCACTTCACAAGTAATTATTTATTTGAGGGTAATTTTTATTATACTAGTAGAATATAGCAACAATTTCCCCAAATATTAGTAAATAAATCATTCTTACTTTATTTTGCTCCCAAGGTTCTATCGCCAAAATACAGATTAATTCCGAAGTTCATTCTTATTGTCATTTTAATAAAATCTTGGTACCTCACTACAAATTAAGGAGTCAAAACTCCACAAAAAATTCGTTACAATCTTTGAGTTGTCTAAGAAATATCATCGTATCACTCTTAAATTACAATGATACGTCAACATTTTATTGGGAGACAACTAAAGGGACAAAAAAAATTGAGACTACACATCTAACTTGTAATTCTCTCATATTTTCAAGTCTTTTTTATTTGTGTTATGAATGCTTGGTCATCTCGTAAATTGGTCGGGCTATGATCTAAATTTACCAAAAGATAGCATATATATGGGTTAAGTTATTCAAACAGGGTCAGTGACAATGGGAAAAAAATAGGTGTATGAGTCAGCACTTGTTTGGGTAATTTTTCTTTTTTAATTGTCAAATCATTGAATGACACATAACACACCTATTTTTATACCGTCACTAACCTTGTTTTTGTAGCAAAACCCCATATATATATATAAAAGTTGAGTGAAATTTACAAACTGATCAAGGTACAAACTTTCGAGAAAAAAAAACATTGATTTTCAAGTTTTTTGATAAGATTGAAAAGTTACGGATATCTATTATTTTTTCAACAGAAACTTATTTTTAAAGTTTTGCTTATATTTTTTACTTTTACCCTACTCAACATGACCTTACCCTATTATCCAAGTGTTGCAGTCTATTCAATTCTCTCTATCTATAGCTTTTGAGATCTTTTCCTATATGTATATGTATCTATAAAAGCGATACTCCATTTTCGGAATTTTGTAAACTGGCTCTACCAACAATGGAAGCCTTTACTTTACTCAAGTTCCGCCGCGGCAGCAGCAGCGGTACTGGTACTAGTTTCTTCACTGGCAACTTGACTTCCAAACCAAGAACCGTCACCACTTCCTCCTCCGCCACAGCCCTGAAGCCGCCTTCAGACACTGACGACGCCGCCGATGATGGTCCATACTTTGACCTGGAATTCACCCTCCCAGACGAGGAAGAAGAAGCTAAAATCCAAGACAATGAAGATGAATCTGAAGAATCAGAGGATGAAAATGATGATCAAGAAGGAGAGTTGAAGTTTGAGCTCAGTAAGGATCAAAATGTAATTTTATCTCCTTCGGATGATCTCTTCTTCAAAGGCCATTTGCTTCCCATTGAGCCTTCAAGCATTTTGTTGAATTCTTCTGAAAATAACTCGAAATTCCCTGCGGCTTTAGTAAAATCAGCCACCAAATTTCGGGTTCTTCTTTTGAAGCTCAAGAAATCGAAATCAGAGAAAAATGAGGCTAATGGGCAACCAAAAACTCAAGAAAATGGTAAAGAAAATCAGACTAAAATACAAGGTAACAAGTTTTTCTTCGTGAAGTTTAAGGTCGAAGAAGTCCCCATTGTCTCTTTGTTCACCAGAGATAGCAGCTCAAAGGGTAATAACAAGGATGGCGGAGGGCAGAAAAATGAAGTGGAGGATAAGGACTCAAATGAGAAAAAATTAACTAAAGAGACGGTACAGAAGTATCTGAAAAAGGTGAAGCCTTTGTATATTCGCGTTTCAAAGCGTTATGGAGAGAAGTCGAAGATTGCAGGTCATTTAAGCTTCCCCGAAGGAGAAACCAAGGATGATGCAGCACCAATGCCACTGTGTGCTGCGGGGGAGAAAGGAGGAGAAGGGGCAGCATTGAGCAACGTGAAAAGCCAGAAACAAGGGAATAATCTGCAAGCAGGGCTTAAAGTCGTTCTTAAACATTTGGGAAAAAACCGATCTGAATCGTCTTCGTCGGCACCAGCTCCGGCTCCTGCGCCTGAACCGCCGGCGAATATTTCATCAAATCGGCGAGATGATTCGCTTTTGCAGCAGCATGATGGGATTCAAGGTGCCATTTTACATTGCAAGCGATCATTCAATGCCTCCAGAGGTAACTAATTTTTACCTTAAAAGTAACTTTTTTTTTTTCGTAATCTTGAATTTTTTTCATTAATTTACTATTTAACCTTTTTTTCAGAAATGGAACCGTTCGTTTTACCACGTTCCGCGAGTGATCCATCACATGAGAAGTCAGTAAATTTGTCTGCTGCAGATTCACCAGAGGAAGCCAAGTATGGTAAATAAATATTACAGTAGGTCCAAGTCAAACTACTGCTAGTAGTATGTAGAAGGGTAATGTCTGGCTTTTGTTTTGACTCATTCAAACTTTGGAAATACCAAGAAATGAGTCTTCTTTTTATAAATTGCAGCCTCTTAATTACCTGTTTATTAAGTTGGTATTAAATGTTTATTATTTGATATATAATTAAAAAAAGGGTCAATAATAAATTTGTCAGTAATAACTTATAAAATGTCTTTAAAGTAGTAGACAACAAGTGATTAGACCTTATTTACCTATTTCTACTTTTATAAAGCATTTCTTTTTGTGAAAATGAGAGAAAATTTTAGTTGGTCTGTCTCCACCTTGGAAATCTTTTGTGCATCGACAACCGTACTTTTAAAAAAAATGGTTTTGAGTCGTGATTTTCAGGAGAATATATGGTTAAAAAGATCGAAATTTTTTTGAATTTACGTATATAATATTTTATTGTGTTAACGTATGGTTGAAAATGAATATATAAAAAAGAGTTTAAAAAGTATGGTAGTCAACTAGAGGCTTAAGATGATCGCGGAAAATAATAAAATTTTACCTTGACTTGTCGCGTTTACATAGTCCTCGTCGACTTTCAAAGACTCTGTACTTACAATTTCCTTTTATTAAAAGTATCTTCAAGAAATTTTTCTAAGTACAGAATAATTTTTATTTTAGAGAGTTAATACTTAAAAAAAAGTTTCACGAAATTCTTAATTTTAACTTATTTAAAGAGTCGGTTTGACTCTCTTAAATTTAAATATTGACATAGAAAAATATATAAGTAAAAAAATTGAGATATATGTTATCTATTATACATATTTTGTCTTTTGTGTTAAAAGGAAAAAAAGCGCAGCCCTAAAGGAAATCTCTTTTCTCACGCACCAAGTGCACCTTTTACCTTTTGACCATTTGGTTCAATAAAATACGCTGCTCCTAATTTCTAGCCTTTTTGAACATATGTTCAAGTGCATGTTTGGATAATCTTAACAAATTTACTTATAATTAAACATTAAATTAACGTTGTTTTTTTTGTGTGTGAATCAATTTATAAATTACTGATCTTGAAAGTAACATTCATGTGACCACTTAAAATAAGTAACTTTTTTAAAACACCATCTGATGAATGCTCTTTTAATTTTTACTAAAATATTTTATAATATAAGAGAATCTTAAAAATAATCAATCAGCATGTGAAATAATTGGGTTTGCTAAACCTAACCACAACCTTCCAATTTACTTTCACATGGCTTAATTGTTGAACTCAATGCTTAGGTCTCAAGAAATAAATCGTTTACTTGTCTCATTATCCCTAAGTACAAGTTACACACATTTGATATTGTACGCTACTTGTGCGCGTGTAGTCTAAGTACAACCCGATTTTGAAAACACTCGATCACTCCTCAACAAAACACGATTTATTAGAATTGCTAGGCTATGGTTTACCTAAGAGTTTTAGCAAGTATAGTCGAGTTCCGGCCTGCATATCTAGAAAATTTTCAATTGAATAGTCCTATGCTTTTACGTGGTACACCCACTGATTGAAATTACGATATGGGTTATTTGTGTCATTTAATTTTTAATTTACATAATTTTATTTTTTTGTATCATTAGAGCATCTCCAGTATAAAATTGGATGTAAATTAATATTTTAAAAATCACTTTTGTATCCTCAATTACACCTCGATGAATTTAAATGCAAATTTTGTTCCAATGAAAATACTTAAATCCACTTTTTTATCTCTTACGGATGTAAAAGATGTAAATTTTCAACTTTTTTACATTTTCTATCGAAAAACGTTATTGCATTTCCTTTGTATCCCTTCGTTAAAGAGATTTTCAGTCACTTTGAGATCTAAATCATAATTTAAACGTTGTTAATTATTTTCAATCACTTTAGATCTAAATCATAATTTAAACGTTCTTAATTCAAATGAGAGACATTATTTATGTCAAATCCTGTGTGAACCCAACCATGAGGGCCGTGGCATGCCTAACGCTTTCTCCTATCTGACACATTATATGTCAACACAACTTCCAAAACATTGTATTTTGTGCAAGTTATTGGACCTTCTGAGGTTCTTATCATTCGTACGTTACGCGTGAAATATTGATAATATGTTTACACAAATAAATTCACTCAATTTTGTGCAAGTTTTTGGACCTTCTGAGGTTCTTTTCATTCGTACGTTACGCGTGAAATATTGATATTTTGTTTACACAAATAAATTCACTCATCTTCTCAAAGTGTGTTTCGCGTGGAAATTGAGTATCGCTAACAATTAAAAGATGGTTCAAACAATTATTTAAAGAACAACAACCTTTCGAAATAAAGTCTCAACGATGAGTGTTTTTACTTATGAAGATTACAATATGGACGAAGCGAAATACTTCCAAGGGACGCAAGCACACAAAGTAATTGAAGGCTAACAAGAACAAAATAAATGAAATTACATAATTCTATGTTTTAGAGTCGGTATGAACTTTTCTCAGTTCTAAATTCTTCTCTCTCTTTTATACCCTCATTGACAGTTTCTCTTGTAGAACCGTTTGAAAACTTCTGAAAACTGCTCATCGTCCTGTAACTACCACTTTCTTCATCATGGATGTCTTGTCAAAAACTATCGTTTTCAACCGCGCCATTACTCCCATCGTTTAACGTCTTATAACCGAGATTCTTGGATTGTGGAATATGATAAGATTACCCATTAACTGCATCAATAATCGTTGCTTCAAATAGCAATCAATACACTACATTCGCCCAGATCTGTGGCGTCACACAGGCTTGACCGATGATGGATTCACCTAGATCTTGGGCGTCTGGCGTCTCATAGGCTTGAGCGATGATGAACCTCCATGACATAACTCCATCTTGGATTTTTATATGGTTTTGTTTGGGTTCTTCCTTCGAATTTCCTAATTGGACTTCATTCCTTAGACCATTTAATTGGGTCTTATTTTTTGTATGTCAACAATTACTTCCCAATATGACAAAATTAATATCAATTATTAATCTTGTTCCATATTCTTCATTTATATTTCTCGGCAATGTTTGAATTCCCAAAAGGGCGGAGAATCCCAATCATTATTTCCTTTGGTGGTAACCCTCTATATCCTGAAAAGTGTAACATCACACAACTCTTATAAATCAAAGATCACGCCACTTCATCGCACCATTATACCCACGTCTTTACATTGCGCGCTTATTTTTCCCAATAAAGACCACTGTTCATTTTCTTGCTTCTCTACTACGCTTCTCACAAACCCTTATAAAGACTGTAATTTATAGCAAATAGCGACTTCACAAAGCCCTTCCGACAACTTCCTTAGTTTCGAATACTTCCAAAACCTCCTCATCAAGCCGTATATAAATCCAACTTCCCTTTCAACAGCTAACACTGACCTCCATGAATTCTACCTAGGCCTGTCATTTAATGATGTTGAATCGTCGGGTAAGCGATGATGGGCCAGCTATTCCCTTGTACTGAAGTTCCTCCTTTTCTGAACCCTCTACCGCTAAATCCAATTCGCGAGAAAAGTAGTCGTACTTGGCCCAAAACTGATACTACTTTTCGCATGTGATATGCACGTATGGTAAATTATGGCCCTATTAGGTGATTCGTCCAACAAACTGCTTACTTATACATCTATTTGTTCACTTTTTCATATGGAAGGAACATATTTATTCAAATATTTACCATTAATAAACCTCATACTTCCAAATGAGAAGTTTCATTAGGCAATACGATTTTCACTTTATATGGTCCTCCCCAATTGGGTGACCGTTTACCATACTTTGGATCTTTGCTATCCAAAGAGAGTATTGTTTTCCAAACTAACTCGCCCAAGCTAAAAGAATTGGCTATAACTTTTTTGTTATATAATTTAGCCATTTTTCGTTTTTGAACATGCAATCTATCTAGGACGTCCAACTTTAACTATTCCAATTCCAATAAATTTTGGGTTTGTGATTCGACGTATTCGTCATCGCCTAAGTCATTTTGTAAGCCTACTCTCATCGATTGCATGTTGATTTTCATAGGCAACACACCTTCTTGTCTATAAGTAAGTTGAAAATGAGTTACTTTGCTACTTGAATGTGGTGACGTCTTGTAAGCCCATAAGGCTTTATTTAAACATTCATGCCAATTTCTGGCATTTTCATTTATCATTTTTCTTATAATATTTTTTAGAATCATATTAGAAGATTCTGTCCGTTCATTAGATTGGGCGTAATAAGGTGTGGAGTTTACTAACTTAACTCCAAACTCGTTCAAGAATTCCTTCATATGATCTCCATTTAAAGAAGTTCCGTGGTCTATCATTCAAGTTTGTGGAATCTCAAATCTATAAATAATGTGGTCACGAATAAAGTTTATAACACTTTCTAAGAGACTTCTTCTAAAGGTATTGCTTTTACCTATCTAGTGAAGAAATCTGTCGCAACTATTATAAATGCATGTTGCTTGGACGATGGGGAATAAATCTTCCATATCGAGTCTATCACGTAACCTTTAAACGGTCAAGGTTTAATAATGTGTGCCATTTCTCTTGATGGCACTCTTTGAATCGGACCATGCTTTTGACATGCTAAACAACTCTTTATATACTGAATGCACGATTCTCCCATTTTGGTCCAAAAGTATCCGCTCCCAACAATCAACCATCTCATCATTTGGCCAGTTTGATGGGCTCCACATATTCCTTTGTGAACTTCAGCCATAATTGTTTTGGCCTCTTGCGAACTCACACATTTTAATAACACACAATCTAAGCGTTTCTTGAATAGCTCCTCATCTATCAATATGTAATTTAATGAGTGTAATCTCATTTTCCTATTACTCTCTTTGTCAGGTTCTTTCAATAATCTTTTTATTTCTACCCTCCAATCTATTACATCTCTATTTTATATGCAATAAACATCAATCTTTTTCACCCTGCTTTGTATTACGGGAAATATTACTCCATACTCACACGGACGATATTTCTGCAC